ATCAGACGAATTCCATTTCCAGAAATGGATAACACGAGAAAAATAATATTGCAAATATCGCACGGCAGAGTTTCACATCTTTTTTTTTTCGTGCACTATCTCTTCCTCCCCTTTTTTCTTTTCTTTTCTTTTTTTCTTTGTATTTTATACGATTTTATATCTCTTCCATCCTTCCTTCCTTCCTTCCTTCCTTCCTTCCTTCCTTCCTTCCTTCCTTTCTTTCTTTCTTCCTTTCTTTCATTCTTTCTCTCTTACTTTCTCTTAAAATCCTATTGTGTGTATACATATACATATATTTATATATATTTTATTCATATAATTTTTTTTTTTTTTTTTTTTTTTCTATAGATGCAGCTAAGTCAAGGAAAGAATCTATCTTTCTAATAGCATTTGGCTCGCCAAATTCTGTCAGTTTCATATAACAGTAGAATTGCATCGGATATAATAAAAAATATGATTCACATATATATATATATTTGAGTCATTTATGATCACGTCGTCCACATACCTATGATTTCATCTTTTCTTTTTACGCAATCATTTCAATTGTCGAACATTTATTTTTTTTTTCTTTCTTTCTTTCTTTCTTCTTCTTCTTCTTCTTCTTCTTCATCTTCATCTTCATTTGGTAGTGTTATTAAAGCGTGAGAGTGTAATATTATATTTATATTCTTATCGCAATAAAATATGCGAATACATATATATATATATATATATACATATACATATATATATATATATGTATTATATATACATATATATATATACATATATATATATATATATGTCGTTTATGATCACCGACCAATTTCAATTTCATTCGCATCTCCATCATTTTCATTGATTTCAAAATTCACCGCATATATTTTTTCTTTTCTTACCCATTTATCCCCAGCCCCCTCCCTTTTCTTACCCACTTTTGGCAATGATTGATTATTTGGACAAGTATTAGTGTGTGATCTTTGTTTTGTTTTCTGGTTTTTTTTTTTGTTTGTTTTTCTTTCGTTTTTAAACGGAACTTACGATACGTCCATTAATATGGCCACGGAGGAGAAATGTTCTTTTAGACTTCACCAAAACCACCAATCGCTTGTTCGGTCATTCTCAAGCAGAGAGATTCAAGGCTTGAATTTATTTCCGGTTCTGTTGTTTCCGGTCCACTACCACCACCACCTCCTCCTCCTCCTCCTCCGCCACCACCACCTCCTTGGCCAAGAAAATGATCTCTTGGTGCACTATATGTTCGTTGCAACGTTCTTTGAAGTTGCTGAAATAAGTATGAATCGTGAGAAATAAAAATAATAATAATAATTTAAAAAAAAAAAAAAGAAAAACAAAACAGAAAAAAATAAGACAATTATCTATTTAATATTTATAGATAAATAATTTACCTCCAAACTATTCTCCTGTAAACTAGGTCTTTTCTCAGCCGTATGTACTGGACGTAAGTTATTCTGATTCATAGTTTGGATCTGATTATTTTGTATATACGGTGTAGATATACTATTTCTATGTGGGCTGATGCTAAAAGAATTGTTATGTGAATGAGTATTGTGAATATGACTCAAATTTAAACTCGGTTTTCTATTGTGTTGTTGAAGATTACAGAATCTTCGATTATTATATCCATAATTATATTGCCATCTGAAATGTAATGATTAGAATCAATTCAATAATATGCGAATACATTGATTATTATTATTATTATCATTATTATTATTATTATTATTATTATTATTATTATTATTATTATTATTATGATTATTATTATTATTATTATTATTATTATTATTATTATTATTATTATTATATATATCGGTTTCATACTTCGGTGTGGGTCGTGGATTGCCAAGTCTGCTACGCCATTGTTGTACCTTCTCCTTTTGATTTGGAGTAAAGCAGTCATGTTGCAATACTTTTTCTAATATATTAATGCATGCACATAAAATTCCATCGTCTACACTATCCAGTGCCAGTCTGCTACAAACTGTTAATTTAATTATCGTGTTAAAAGCCTTGAAAAAAGCTTTAAAAAATATCAAATATATATATATATATTTATAACAGAAAAAAATAAACTTACGTTTTCCAAGGACTTTCGTAAACTGCGCAGGTATATCCTGAGGATCACTTTCCTGACTTGGTTTTAAAGGTGTAGCTAATATTGTCTTCAATTCATCAAGAGTATTGACAAGCAGTATTGGCCCTTGTGAAAATGAAGTTCCTTGTGTACCATCACGAGTTGGTTGTAACAGATCTTTTTCTAAGTTAACAAGAGTCGTGTAACGTTGTTGCAATTTAGCAATTGAAAGAGCTAACTTATGCCTGGCTCCTTTTGTTACACCTTGCTCGGCTAATTGTTCTTCGGTTAATTGTAACATTTCTTCGTAACTTAGGGTAACAAACAAGTAGCTATATTTGTGAAGGCGTAATGTCTTAAGCCATGATGGTACATCTACGTTTGAAAATTAATTATAATTAATTGGATCATTGTTGTAAATTAATTGACGAACGTATAAAAAAAAGTTATATATTTTTAATATATACCTTTCATTCCGCTTGCCAATGTACGATTCGAAGCTTCATCTAAACGACCCTCACTACCACTACTTGCGCAAGAACTCTGTGGACTAAGAGGACCTAAACCTATTAGATTGCCTATAAAAAGAATTATATTTACATTATTACATTTTCATTATGTATGATTAGAAAAATTTAATTTATTATTGAACTAACTGGTATGATCTCCGGAGATACTAAAACTGCGTGGTTTGTGTCTTGTGGAATTATTTGCATTGTTGCTACGATCAACGACTTCAAGATGATGTGGTGGTGCAACAGGAGGAGTCAAACTATTTGAACGACGTTGACGAGTTACGGGAGGAGGAAACTGTAAATTAAATGTAGTAGTAGGCTGTGTGCCAAACAAATGTGTTTGTTCATTTGATTGCTGTTGTTGTTGTTGTTGTTGCTGTTTAGAACTTCTTTGCCATACATTATCCCACCTTTAAAGCAAAATAATGTCAAAATACTCATATCATTTATTATATATATATATATATTTGGTATTATATAAATAATATCAAATAAAATAAATATAAATGTATAACTATATAATTCACCTAGTTGAGGTGTTCGTATATTCTTCGAGGCTATGAATAGATGGAGTGCCACTGATACGTTCTTCGAGATGCCTTAGCCATTGGGTTAACGAGCGTCTGTCTTGACTAGTTATAGCAGGATGAATTAACGTGTAACTTAGCAACTGCTGTGTCTGTTCTGTATATTGACCAGTGGTCACACAATGACTCACTAATTCAGGTATTGCTATAAGATAACATTGTTTGCATTCTACATTTCCAGGCCTTAAAAGCGGGAGATGTGTTAAAAGTTGATTGATTGCAACTTCAGTCGGTTCTGTGAGTAATGAATTAATGAAGGCTGCAATTTAAAAAAAAAATTTTTTTTTATTTTTAGTAAAATAAATTATCAAAAGTATTTCAATATTTCCAAATATATTTTGTCAAAACAATTACCTGGATTGTTAGCATTCAATTCTTGTGTATCCAACTCAGAAACAGAGTGAAGAGAATGTTGTACAGCCTGAGCCAGAAATCTTGCTTGAACAGCAGGGATGCGACGAAGTAGAGCATAAAGTACCACGGTTTGTTCGCACTCGTTCCACTGAGAGAATACCCGAGTAAGTTCACCCACTTGTTCACAAAACAGAGCACCCGGGGACCACTTCATTTTATATCACACGTTAGCTTGTAGATAAGTTGTAGAGCGTTTATGATCATGCAAGTCACTAAGGCTTCAGAGCAGAGATGATCTTCTATTAAAATCTGCGTTTACTCCTAGATTACTCTGTAGAAAAAGAAAAATATCTTTATATAAATTTATTTCTCATTGACATAACAATAGAAAAGAAAAAATTATAAAAAAGAGGAAAAAAAAGAATGCTTTCCACATAATCCACAAAAATGAAAAAAAAAAAAAAAAAAGAAAAGAAAAAAAGAAAAAAAAAAGAAAAATATCTATTCTATTAGTGATACAAATCACGGTTCTACATATTCGTATCACATCTCGTCTAAATTAAGAACAACAAAATAAGAAAACTGATTTCTTGACCTTTGTGGAAGCAAAATAAAATAAAACGACAAAAACAAAAATAAAATAGAATAAAATAAAATAGAATAAAATAAAATAGAATAAAATAAAATAAAATAAAATAAAATTAAATAAAATGAAACGAAATGAAATGGAGAAAAACAAAAAGGTAAAAAGAAAAAAAGAAAAAGAAAAAGATAAAAGAGGAAACAAAAAAATAAAGAAAAAAAAAATAAGAAAAAGAAATGAAGTACATATGTCCCGAAATAACAAAACGTCAACGTGCCGATTTCAATCGTCTATTATACAATCAAGATGATCGGGCGGCATTAAAAGAAGATTAATTAAAAAAAAAAAAAAGAAAAATGAAGAAAGAAAAAAATTGAACGAGAATATCCCTGGCAAGAATGACAGTTCCATTTACGTTAAGGAAGGTCAGTTCTTCGAGCTCCGAAAGCATCGTTAAAACTTTCTATACTTCCTAACGAGAACATATCGGTTAAAATGAAAAAAAGGTCAGCCGGATAAACGCAATACTAACAGTTCCTAACAATTACATATCGTGAAGGCGTTGTAAGAAAAGAAAAGGAGAGAGAAAGAGAAAGAGAGAGGAAGAAAGAAAGAGAGAAAGAGAGAGAGTAAGAGGAAGAAAGAGAGAGAGAGAGAGAAATAGACAGAAAAAAACAGACAAAGAGAGAGAGAGAGATAGAGAAATAGACAAAAAAAGACAGAGAGAGAGAGAGAGATAGAGAAATAGACAGAAAAAGACAGAGAGAGAGAGAGAGAGAGAGAAATAGACAGAAAAAGACAGAGAGAGAGAGAAAAACAGAAAGAAAAAAACCGACAGAGAAAGAGAGAGAGAAAGAGAGAAAAAGAGAGAGAGAGAGAGAGATCAAAAGAGATCAAAAGAGAATATTAAAAAAAAAAAAAAGGAAAAAAAAATAAATACATTTATAGCCTACGACGTACTTTTAACTCGGAACTTCAAATCGGTAGACACACACACACACATACCCACTCACACACACACACACACACACACACACACACACGTTCCACTTTACTTATGTTACGTTAAGGGTATAGTACAGAAGACGACGACGACAACGACACGACGACGAAGACGACGCAACGACGAAAACGCGACGACGATGGTGAGCCAGCAAAGGGGATAGGATACGGCATAACCTTAAAAACAGCATCGCCGTATATACGACTCCGCATCAAAGATATACACCGATAAGAATTCCACTGAGGTCAAGTTTGTTTACCCCGCGATGCATGTGTATTTATAGCCTTCCTGCTGGGAGCCGCGTTCGGCGGTGCAATGGCATCGTTAGAGACCGCCCCTATACATATGACTGTTATAACGACCGATAAGATAATTTTCTTATTTTCTTTTCTTTCCTTTTTTTTTTTTATTCTTTTCCCCCTCTTTTACTCTCTCTCTCTCTCTCTCTCTTTTTCTCTCTCTCTCTTCTCCCAACTTCCTCTTCTCTTTCTTTCTTTTAAATAAATAAATAAATAAATAAATAAATAAATAAATAAATAAATAAATAAATAAATAAAGAAGTAAAATTTACTCGACACAAATGTTCTCCCGTGAAAAGAGAAAGAGAAACATGAGAGCATGCTTATAACAATAACAATAATAATAATAATAATAATAATAAATAAATAAATAAATAAATGAATAAATAAATGAATAAATAAGTTTCGAAAAAGATGACGCACAGATAAAAGCTATTAAAGATTGCCCCCCCCTCATATTTACGTTACATGCGACAGGATCGTATTACACAGTTTTCGAATTGTTTCTCTCTCCCTCTCTTTTTCTCTTTCTCTCTTTCCTTTTTGATTTATTTATTTTTTTTTTAAATGTATATCCAAGCCAATTAAATTCCCATATTTATTACGTGAATTTTTTAATTTGCCACGTAAGTTGACGTACGTAAATCAAAGAAGACAGTTCCCATTGATTAATAGATCAAGATAGAAATGTAGAAGAGATTTTGATAAAATAACGAGGATTTCGTTTTAATTGAAGAACGAACGAAGAAAAATAAGAAGATACGCGAGAAGCTACAATTTCTCAGGAACGCGTAATTATGTTCGGCGATTATCGTCGTCATCATCATCATCATCATCATCATCATCATCATCATCATCATCATCGTCGTCATCGTCGTCATCGTCGTCATCGTCGTCATCGTCATCGTCATCGTCATGTCTTTTTGAAACGAAATTAATACGAACGTTTCTTCTATTGTATATTATTTCTATAATCACGTCCAAAGGACAATTTTAGAATTCGAATGTTTTCCTGTTATTTTTTTATATATATATATATATATGTGCGTGCGTGCGCGCGCGCGCGCGTGTGTATTTCTTTTCCTTACGTTTATATCCTATAAACTTGCTTTTCCCCCCTACCATCCAACCCTCTTAATGTCATCCCCCTTCCCTCAATACCCTCGTTCGTTGGCGGCTCTGATATTCGGCCATTGAGCCCGAAAGAGACAAACACAATTCGGTGATACTCGCCGCTTCTCGTTAGACGTCCGAATATATGTATGTATATAATCGTCGAAGGATAAATGCCTTGTGTTTCAATTACCGTTCTCTCTCTCTCTAACTCTCTCTCTCTCTCTTTCTTTCTCTCTCTCTCTCTTTCTCTGTCTTTTTCTCTGTTTCTGTCTCTGTCTCTGTCTTTCTCTCTTTCTCTCTCTCTTTCTCTCTCTCTTTCTTTCTTTTTCTCTCTCTCTAGGCTCGCAGCTGATGATCGTCGTCCTTTAACGCGTTAATTATATCGACGTTACTCGTTTCGCGCGATAACGAGAGGATACAACGCGGTTATAACATGTTTTTTAACTCGGCGTCGATTCGAAGTGAGAAAGATCCATCCACCACATGCGATTCGGTGGGCCTACGTGACCACACTGGTTCGTTGTCGTGATCGAAACTCGCCGACTCTATGACTTCTCTCATTGGTTCTGATATATCACTTCGTATCAACCAATCATAGAACGCGACGGGGCGCGGTTCGTTTATCCAAAGTTCGTCGACCGGTTGACTTAACGATGAATACGTATCACGTGATTGGTTCGCGATATCATTACGGTCGGCCTATCAAATCTTTGGCGGTTTGAAACTTTTCAAATTGTTCTTAAGCATGTTTCTAAGCGCCCTGTGAGCTCGACATATTAAAGTAGAAGAGAAACAACAGAGATATATACATAAGTTAACCTTCTTCACGCTTATTGTCACATATGTAAATATATTTATGTAGGTTTTTTTTTTCTTATGTACAAACACGATGTCATTGAGGTCACGTCAATGTTAATTTTTAAAATTGTACGTTTCTTAATAGATAATATTTAAAAGATTTGTTTTATGCGATCAATCCAACTTATTTATTTCTTTCATCAATTAATAAAACTATATACTCTCTACAATCTCTTGCCGTACCTTTCTTATTACAATAAAATTTAACATAATGGAATTTTTAATATATATGACTATTTCAATAGGTTTAGTCAGGAGTTTATTATTATTTTTTCTTTTTTCCATTTAATACCATTATGTCATATTATTGCACATGTTCTTACAATTACACAAATGTCATTGTAGCACTTTATATCTTCATGCTGTTTTCAGTTTTCTTGATCGACCAATCTGTTACTAAAGAAAATTTGTTAATTTTTATTTACACAATATAAACGTACAAGCGCATATATTAAAATTGAAATTCAACATTTATCATGAAATCGTTACAACGTTTGAAAGCGTCTTTAACAAGTTATATTGCATTGTTACATTTATCATCATAAATCACATATAAATAATACATTCTTTTTTGTAAATTTTTTCTTTCTTTTCTTTTCTCTTTTATATATATATATATATATATATATATATATATATATATATATATATATATATATAATAAATATATATATAAAGACCTTTCAATTGATATTTACATTTGGCAAGATCAATTTGATTTCATGAAAAAGTTGACATTTCCACATAATTTACTAGAAAGAAAAAGAAAATAATATGCTTAATACTTATACCGATAATTGACACAAGTTGATAAATATTTCATATATACGGCAATGGATTTATATACTATAAATGAATTTAGACATATACAGATCTTAAACTCTATTGTGCACTATAAAATATTAAGTATTAAATATTTTCTCCCATTCCATCACTCTCGGTAACAAGAGCACGCTCCAATATAACCCGGCCTTCCTTGTATCGTTGATTATCATCTGTTGCAAACTCATACACCCACCCAAGTTTAGCATCACAATTTTTACAGCTGACATCTCGTACCATGTGACGTCCAGTTAACATCACTCTATCTTGTACCTCGCTGTTAACCATATAATACAATGGTTAGATGGTAAAAACAACAATGATGATGATTCTTACATATGTTATACTAAATTGTATATAATTGGATTTACTTTTAATATTAACGAGCAATAAATTTCAATGAATCTCAATAAAATTTTCTTTGTAAGGAATATCGATTAAAAAAGAAAGAAAGAAGGAAGAAGAAAAAGAAAAAAAGAAGAAAAAAGAAACAAGAACTTATTTATGTAACAAACAATTTTAGTACTTAACATGATATTTATAAATATTAAAATTATGATATATGAAATAATGAAAACAAAAAATAGAAGTGCGATATTATTCTATACCTGTAATTAAGATTGACAACTTTGTTAAAGAGAAAAGCTCGACCAGTTGCTCCTGTGAAACGAGTACTGATCAGCTGTCCTCGGTTTGTTAAATTTGTGTCACAGGAAGCACAAGAAAAAAGACGCGTGCCACCGATGTGTTCCAAAAATATTACCCCCATTTTAAAGTTTGTTTATTAGGTAAGAGCTTAACTTATGAATTGTTAATTTTTAGTCTTGAACGTTCAAATAAAGAGAATAATAATCACACGGATGTTGCAACCAAACACATGAAACATTAACACTACATTAAGACATACGATGTTGAATTAATACTAATACCAACAGTGACGTATACACTTCACCGACGAATCGTAAATTTAGTTCTCTGTTTCACAATCGAGATGGCGCCATTTTAATATTTATTCATTTTTCTTTTTGACGCTTTCAACAGGTTCTATTTTTTTATCAATTAAAAATATTCTTATATAATATACATTTTTCATACGTTTTCTATATGTAATACGATGACGTAGGATATTTTTTTTCCTAGATATGCTTGAAAATTTTTTTATAAAAAATAATATGACACAAAATTAAATATATTGATTTGTAGTTATGATTTTAAATTTGTCAGATTCACCTCCTTTTGTTCTTTTTCTTATTTTTTTATTTATTTATTTTTTTTTTAGTTGAATGATTAGAAAATCATGAAAGAAGGAAAATATTTATTAAAAATGGCTTTGCAGAGAGATATTTGATAATAATCTTTATTACATCAAAATATTGTATCTTTATTATTCATATAAATGGTATACAATATGTTACAAATACGTATGTATACATATTTATTTAAATTATATATATTTTTTTGTTATTTTTCTAATTCTTTTTTTTTTTTTTTTTTTTTTTTTAATATTTTTGTTATTCTTTTATAGAGCTAGGTACATAGATCTTTGTGCAGTAAAATTCGAAACATATTTTCTTAAATTTCTTTGCAGTCAGAGCTTTAAAAGCTAGGCTGTTTTTAACTTTGTCAGTGAAGTACTATATAAGAGTACTTACAAGTAGAAAACTTGGAACATTTGAATGTAAAAGCCAGAAAGTGGTCGCAAGAGTGAAATGAATCGAAAATATATTATTGGTCATTATTTAATTGGTATATTCACTTCTCTTCTGAAAGGCACATTTGAAATATAATCAGTACACTCCCTTGTTTGCTTAAACATTTGTTTTTTTTTTTTTTTGTTTTTTTTATATATAACATTAAACTTCTTAAGAGATATCAAGAATTATGTTTCCAATAAAATAAAATGATATAAGGACAGAAAAAGGGAGAGAGAGAAACACAATAGAAAAATATAAAATATAAAAATTTCTCTAGCCAAAATCACAGACGAGTCTCTTACTTTCTCCAACAAAGCACAGAGTCGCATTTTCATGGCCATAACATTAAATATATAATAGTTAGTCGATATAAATATTATAAATATGTAACACATATATATATATATAAATATATAATATAATATATATATATATATATGTATATATATGTATATATATGTATATATGTAAGTAGTCTTATAATTAAATCGCACGCCTACATGCATATGTACATGTTCTGGATAATATTGCAGAGACCCAATTATTACGATTAGTAATATTAATCTTTTCTGCATTAAATACTCTTAACAGTTCATGTACTCGAGCATGTATATTTACATGTACACGTGTTCATACACATGTAAATATTTATATATATATATATATATATATATATATATATATATATATATATATATATATAACTATTTTATATATATATATTTAATTTGATTACATCGATTTTTGATGTCCAGGTCATGAAGAATTTTTCTTTTTTTTTTTTCCATAATACTGCACCTATTCCTATGTACACCACACTTTTATATAGAACATAAAGAAAATATAGAAAAGTATTCGTTTAGAAATAATAATATTAATATTAACATTAATAATAATAATAATAATAATAATAATAATAATAATAATAATAATAATAATAATAATAATAATAATAATAATAATAATAATAATAATAATAATAATAATAATGATAATAATAATAATAATAATAATAATAATAATAATAATAATAATAATAATAATAATAATAATAATAATAATAATAATAATAATAATAATAATAATAATAGTAATAATAGTAAATAAAAAAAAAAGAACAGAAAAAGAAAAGAAAAACCCCGAAAAAAAAAATACTTGAAAAAGCAGCGATTGTGCCATTATTATTACTTTTGTTATTATTCAAAATTAATGATGTGAAAATATTTCTCATTGTATTATTATATTCTAAACTCTTATATTCTTCATAAATTCTTCTTGCACTATCATCATCTCTCGATAAGAAAAATAGCATTATTCAGATTTTATTCTAAGTCAGTACTATACTTCAGTCAGTTTAGGTACATACATAAAAGTCTCGTCTGTTTCTGTCCTGTATTGTACAACTCATGTCACGAAATATCGAGGATTTTTCAAGGCAACATATTACAATATATCCTCATTTATATGCTATTGATACAATTTATACATATACATATACATATACATATATATATATATATATATATATATATATATATACATATTTTTTTTTTTTCTTTTTTTATGATAAAGTTTTTAAGAATCTTATATGAAATATGGATAAAAATTGATGCATTTACTCTTATTCGTAAATGCTAATCAATCAACATAACTTCATAAAACATTATAAAATATTTCCTGATAAAAGATTAAACAACATGAAACGTTACATAACTTACGTAGAATATTACATGCAACTAGAAGCAATATAAACAAAAAAAAATTTATGTTCCTACAAAATACAAATATAACATAATTATTTTTTTGCTACACAATGTGAAAGACATTATCTAATTCAACCACTTATACTATAATAATGGAGCAATTTTATGGAATCAAAGAAGTTAATTTTTTTCTATACATTACATTAAGATGATTAAAGAACTCATTATTATAGTGGTTGGGTAATATTAATAAAAGAATAGTTTTAGTAATGAATATTAAAGATAGTAACAATAATAATAATAATAATAATAATAATAATAATAATAATAATAATAATAGTAATAATAATAATAATAATAATAATAATAATAATAATAATAATAATAATAATAGTAATAATAATAATAATAATAATAATAATAATAATAATAATAATAATAATAATAATAGTAATAATAATAATAATAATAATAATAATAATATTAATAATAGTATAGTATTAATAATAATAATCATAATTATAATAATGATAATAATGATCACGTTAGAAATATTATGATATTTTTTTTCTTTTTTACGATAATAGCACTTGTATCAGAAACTTTAATAATCCTGCGGTGATAGTAAATTATATTGATAGTAAATTTAATAACACCTTGTTCCGTGTAGCACAAATATTAAACTTATGCATGATTGCGGGTTCAATAGTTAAGCATTATTTTTGGTAAGTTTTGTTCTATTGGCGGCAACCGCTGCAAGACATGCCAATGCTTCCAGGTCCGGTGATGCACACCATGCTATCAATATTTGTAGAAATAATTAAATTCTCTACCTAACTAAAAAACAGCTAATGTTGGAGTAAGAGAACGTAAATATATTAAATATGAGAACAAAATAAAGATCTACAAAAATCATGATTTGAAAGAATCACGTTATTTGAGATTAATTAATTTGTTCCCTTTCTTCCTGTTGTTGAAACATGATATGTATTATCTCTTATATTGTTGTATTAGCAAAATAGACAAGAGTATTGGATGTTTTGAGAAATTTTCGTTTCTAATATCGCAATTGAACAGATTTTTTTATAAAAGACACGACTTCGTAGAAAATATAATAAAAAAAAAAAAAAAAAAAAAAAAAAAAAAAAAAAAAAAAAAAAAAAAAAAAAAAAAAAAAAAAAAAAAAAAAATTTTACAATCGTTGATAAAATATTCTAAATACGAAAATTCCTCAATTAATTAAATTGAGTCTTCGTTATAGCACTGGATGTACGATATTATTCTTATTAAATCGTACTTACTCTTATTTGATTCTTGATTTCCAGACATATTCGAAGTAGTTGTCGTCGCTGCTGCATTACGTGTAATGCTTTGCTTTCGTGCTTTTCTCTTTTGACTTCCTACCAAAAGTGATTTTTCACCATCTTCTGGAATTTCATTTGTTGTATGTAATCCATTTTTATTATTTTGTCTATTGTTTTGACCGCTATTGGAATTACCATGGCACCATTTATTTGTATTCAGTTTTTGCAAAACCTTTTTCTTGTTTATACGCTGTTGTTTTTTCTTTTCTTGAAATTCTTCTAAACTTAAGGAAGGTAAAGCTTCAATTTTTTTTTCTAAATTAAAATCCCTAAACGTAAAAACAATGTTATGTCAGAAATTAAATCTGTTTTATTCTTTTCTGCAAAAAAAAAAAGAAAAAAAAAAATACAAAAAGAAAAAAAAATGAAAGAGGAGCAGAATTATTACTGCTTTCTTTCATTGGACTTACTCAGCACGAAATCTTTTACGTGTTGTCCAAGGTCCAAAATCTACTTCGCTCTCTGCACCTTCTGTTTCTGTTTCTTCAGGTTTTGAAGCTTCCATATTTCCTTCAGCACTTTAAATAAATAATCACGTTATATTTTATTTCTAATAATTCGGATGAAAAGTTAAAAAAAAAAAAGTTTTACCTTTCCACTAAATGTTCTAGCTCACCACGTGAACTATTTCCACCTTCGCTACTTAAAGAATCAGTTTTTTCACTAATGTTGGAAGATATGGAATTTCTTCTCTCATTTATTCGCTCTTCAGGACTAATAATGTCACATAATTTCAATTAAAAAAATATTGTTATTATTATATTAAAAATAGTACATAATATCACAGAAATAATATAACTCTTTACCTATACGACGTTGTTGATTTTTTTCGTTTATTATTTTGTCCAGATGGTCCAATATGCCTAATTTGTTCTGCTAGAAATTTTTGATATCGCAATCCTTTGCAGGTTCTTTCACCTCTATAATTATTTTCTTCAGAATTAGCATTTGAGTCCAGGAATGAGTTTGTCACGTGCTTTTCATTTTCTATATGCTGTAAATTTAATAATTTTTTAATAAGAACAGGACTTATATATGTTAAAGATATAAATTCTATATAAACAACATTAATATGGATAATAATTAATAATATAATTCATACCATTGTGTGTTGTTCATTATTATTTGATTCAGAATGCTTCCTTTTCTTTTCATTAAAAAGATCAACTTTGCATTCATTTTTATGTTCAAGAGCAAGAAGCAATTCTGGATTTCTCTTTTTAGGAGGCTTTGGTGCTGTAACTTCTTTTTCAGGAACATCATTGTGAGTCGTTATTTGCTCTTCGGTTAATTGCACCTTTTGCGGAGTAAAAAGAGAGCTAAGGCCACCAATTTGAGATTCGTCTGCTAACTTGCCTGGCTGTATGGCCTGACCATCTTTATTATCTGAATTTATATAATCGGAAGACACGTATTCGGATTTGACACTTTCTGTAGCCTGGTCCACGGTTCCTATTTCTTGCTTTTTATTTGTAGGTCTTGTAGTCAAAGTACGTAAAGGAGGAGCTGGTAACTTGTACCATTTGAAATCAGGATTCGCTTTTAAGAAGGCATCTTTGTACTAAAATTATAGTAATAATATCAATAATACAAAATGATCTATTTCTCAAATTATCTAAAATTACATGCGTTATTAAATCTATTAATATTAAAGAAGTTAAAGCTTAAACCATATTTCTAATTATTTCTTAATTGTAAACTTGCTAAAAATATTTACCTCCTGTGCTAAATTTTTATAGGTACGTTTTTGATCTGGATTAAGTGTTGCCCACCATTCTCCAAGTACTCTTGTAACCGCACGATTTTCTAAATGTGGAAATCCAGATCGTACAGATCCTCTATGTCGCTTACAAAAAATTAAGAAAGCATTCATTGGTCTTCTTGCATGATGAGCCGGTTCCCGCAAGTCTTTGGGTTCCTAAAATCGTGGATATAAATAATTACGATATTAATTCAACAATAATATAATAAAAAACTATGTTGTTATATCATATAATAAGATATAATAATATATATTGTATT